GGCTAAAGATGACCTTGTTGTGATAGAGACCTTTATCTAGTTAGCATGATAACAAAGTGATTTACATTTGAAAGGCAGCAAGGTTTGTATCATAACAAGGTCATCTCTAGCCTCACTCCCTTTCAAAGGCTTGGCAACCGAGCACACAACTGTAAAATGGACTATTTCGAGCCCTGGAGTGGTTTTTCGTAACTGGCGTAGCACAGGTTATTTTTGTAGAAGCCTTCAGTTTCAGTGAATACTTGCAGTACATTGCATCCTAAATAAACTTTCACATTGAAAATCTCGACTGAGTGTAGTCAGAATGCCAAGCTGCTGCAATCTGGGCAGGCTAAAGAGAATAATAAGAACAGGCAATGAATTGTTGCTGATGTGCGAAAGGAAATAAATTTTCAGACCTGAGCAAGTATCAGAATTAGATAACTATGCAATGCCACAGACAGAAAAGTGATTGTCCTTGTTTTTTGTTGATTTGTTGTTTTTGTCAGACGAGAAAGAGCAGTTTAGACGCTACAGACAGGACATAGCTGATACCTTGGTTAGTACATGTGACACTCATTATTATTTATTTTTTTTTTTTGTATTGACAAGCATTCCATCCAGAAGGACAGCAATACTTTTAGTCACTTTGTGTTATGGAAACTGGGATATTAACACTTCGGGCATGTCGGCCATTCAGCATCTGCATCAGAGTTTTTTTTTTGTGTGAAGGAGTGAAGGTTTTAAAACTTCTGAGAATTTTTTCGTATAAATATTGACTTTGCATGATACAAAAGTGAAATCATAATGAGGAAATTCAACAAATCGACATTGATTTAGCGTGCGTCTGTGACGAATATAGTTCTCGATAAGAGTACAGACCACGCTAAACCACTGTCGATTTGTTTTTACCCCGATATCGACGTCAATCAAAACGATTCTTCCAGATCGTGACACGTTGCGTGACACGTTGACGCGAGCAGCGTTGTCTATACTCTTACTGACAACGGCAAATTGGCCAATCAGATTGCGATATTACTGCTAATTGTGGTCTTAGGAAGGAATACTTTACCAGACATTTCGTGTATGGTTTCGTAGATGTATGTTTATTGTTTACTGAGAGGTCACTGTTTACAACAACTGTACCATATGCTGTCAGAACTGTTGGCAGGGGAGACAGAGCCTTCATGGCAGGTTTGTTTTGTAATGTACAGTGTCTCGTGTAGTTCTGTGAAGCGTTTTGCTGATGTTAGGATAAACGCAAGTAATATAAAGCTGTTTTAGCTCTTGGGTTTGTAACTATTGTTAGAGTAAGCTGGGTTAGGGTGAGCTTTGACAGTGTCAATCGGAATATACTCGAAAGTGGCTGGTTGATAACGTTCTTTCTTCTTTGCGTAACCTTTGCATTCCCAAGATCTGAAAATTATGAGGAAGTCTAATTGTATATGTGTCACAATTTGGTCACTTTCTATGTGATTCGCGGCGTTTCCACCGCCTAGTATTTTTATTTTATTTTATTTAGCTTCGCCAACCGGCAGGGACACCG